GCAACGAGCCCCAGACGGATCGGATCGATCCGGGGCGCGTCGGTCTGGGGAAAAGTCGGTCGATTCAGACACGGGATAAGCCACAGAGCCACAAGCTGTTGTCCCAATCCTCGTTTTGACATCAACCCTGATCACGTTTGTGTGGAATGGGCCAAAGACAATGAGTCTAATTGTACTAATTGAGATGCCTGCGGAGCGATGTCTACAGGGGATTTAAAAAAGAGAAGGGAGCTGAAAAAACGCGCGAGGCTTTGTCTGAGCTCAATCGCCAAGAGAAACACGCATCGGTTTAGGACTCCAGGTGTCAGAACCGTCTCCTCCAAACGGTTGAAGCCGTCATGCAAACTCTGAGAACTCGGCCCTTGGCGAAGCACAGATTCGTCTCACGGCTTGCGAGTCGTTGCAAAAGCGGCGATGGCTTTTGGCCTCCAACTGAAGGAGTCGTTGTTGCCAGTTTCCCTTCCGCATGCTCCGGAAACCCGCATGCTTCGTTCTTTTTCCACATTGTTGAGGCACAGCCGGAGGCATCGGGCAATTGGGCGATTTGGTTGGCCTCAAGTCGACCACTCGTTGACCCCTTCATTGAGCCCTTAGGAGCTTTACGCAAGGAGGGCCCCCGGATTTCCGCCGAAAGGCCCGAAGGGCCCGTTCTTTTTTTTGTTTTTGCCGCGCACGGAGGTTACGACAGTGGACGGTGCGCCGCAGGCTTAGCCAGAGCTCAAAGGCAGTGGACAGCCAAAGTCGATGAAAAGAGACTGACCAGCGAAAAGCATCTAATATTTGGAGATCCAACGACTCAGCTTTCCTTCAGGGGGTGGTGTTCTTGTTTACTCTACCAGGCGGTAGTCCAAGAACGCAGCTTTCCTTTAGGCCTTTAGGGGGTGGTTTTCCGTTTACCCTAGCGAGTCAACTCTCTAAGCCAACGGAAAGGTCCTTACACAAACGAGGATCTTCAGAGATCGCTTTTGACTTGCGCAATTCTTGCTCATGTTATCATTTCATAAATCCGCCCCTCCACAGGTCGACAAGGGCCAGAAACGCCAGAATTTGGAGGGTCCCCGGGGCAGTCCACCTACATATCCGGTCCTTTCCGGTCCTCTTCTTTTCGTTCTCTCCGGCACATTTTTTTTGGCCAAGGGGGGGTACCGAGCTTGACAACGTGCGACAAGGAATGAGTGGTTCCGGCTGGCATTTTTGACTTCCAGTCTTTTTGGAAGGGCAACCTATGAAAGACATGAGCATCTGCAGAAGTGTTGGCAATAGCTGTCAATAGATTTTGTGTGTTAAGATTGCGTTCTTGTTGTTTCTTTTTTGGGACGAGCGTCATCTGGAGGGTCCCAAAAGCCGGAATAGGAGGGGTAATTTTGCAGAACCTGGCGGTGCCTTTAAACTAGATTGGCTAGTCGGCTGGAAAAGGGGCTGTCTTTAAGCTCAGGGGGAATAGAAATCTGTTAAAACCCTCTAGGCCCCGTGCCGAAATTGGGTAGCTGTTCTGAGGTCCTTGTTGGTGTTGCTTCCCAAGTTCCATTGATCGCCATATGGCTCAAGACACAATTGAGGTTCAAGATCTGATGTGTGACTGCATACATACGTGATCGGCATTGAGAGCGAAAACACTTCGCTTGCGCTGCATTTGTCAGGACTACTGTTGTAACTATCATTCCTTCTCCCTTACACGTTTACACGGGTTCGGCTATAACGGCATTGTCCGTATACACCTTTCTACGTGGTTGGTATTAAGCTTGAGGGTTCGGTGCATAGCGTCCCACGGGACGTCACCTTGCCGTCTCTTGACAGGTTATCAGCCGTAACTACAAGCTCTACACTGGGCTATAACGACAGCATCGTTTATTACACCTTTCTACGTGGTTGGTATTAAAGCTTGAGGGTTCGGTGCACAGCGTCCCACGGGACGTCACCTTGCCGTCTCTTGACAGTTGGTATTAAAGCTTGAGGGTTCGGTGCACAGCGTCCCACGGGACGTCACCTTGCCGTCTCTTGACAGGTTATCAGCCGTAACTGCGAGCTCTACACTGGACTGGGAGACAGCTGGTTTATTGCGGGTACAGGGACAATAAAGGAACGATAACATACACAGTACAATGGCGTCTTCGGCGAGCCCAAGTACTGCAACATTTGGGAACAGCAGCTCAGAGGGATCCAATGGATTGATGGCTCTTCCTGCGGTGATGGATATGGTTGCAGATTCACAGGATGAACCTGGGAGCGGAGGTTCCGCGCTATTCAGCGACATCTCTACTCCCACAAGATCATGGAAGCAGATCGATGTTCATCAGGGGTCGAAGAAAAGAGAATCCCCACCGAGAAGATCATCATCTTCGCCTGCGACACCACGGACGTCGCAGAAGGGCGTGAGATCGACATCGAAGGGTGGGAGGTCAAAATCACCCACCAGTGCAGATTTTCGCGCCGTGATCAAAGAGAAGAATAAGATGGAGGTGGAGATCGGGGAATATCAGAAGACACTTGATGAAATGTCGGCAGCAATGGCGAATCTTAACCAAGAAGACTATGGAAGCACCATCCGGATCCAGGAGCTGGAAAGACGATGCGAGATTGCCAGCAAGCAGTCGGGACATCTAGTGAGTCACCACCAACACCACATGGCTGAGGCATGGCGCAAGTTTGAGGAAGAAGCCCAACAGATGCGCAAGGTGGAAATGAACGCATTTCAGTACGGGGAGAAGAAAGACATGGAGTCGAATATTATAATGCAACAGATGAGGCAAGCTGAAGGAACTATCATGGAGCAGAAGCGGGAGATTGCATTGATGAAATCCTACATGGCAAGCGAGAAGTCGGCCGCGCAGGAATCAGCTATACGTGCAAATCAGATACACCGTGAGGCTTCACAACAAATATCAGTTTATCAGCAACAGATCAGAGGCATCGAATCGTCTACATCTATCGAGAAGTTCAACGAGGAGGAGATGGTCCAAAGTCTGAAATCACAGTTGGAGCACGCACTCGTCAAGCGCCCCGAGACGTACTCTATGGAGGACTCCAGGGACCAGCTGATGGCGAGACTGAATGACGTTACAGTATTTGCGGAACAAGAATCGAAGAGAGCAGATTGCTTGCTTCGCGAGAAGGAAGAGATCGTCAAACAGTATGAATCCGACGTGTCGATGAAGGACCAGATGATTGCTGTCGAAGGTGGTCATCGTCAAGATGCGATCTTGGAGTTAGCCCAGGTCAAAGAAGAGAAACAAGAGGAACTGTGCACGATGGACGAGAAGTCGAAGGAGGCTGAGTACTGGAGATTGACAGCTAAGGGAATGTACGATGAGTACCTCGAGGAGATGCATGAGCTTCAGAGACAACTGAAAGAAAGAGAGGCGACGCTCAAGCAAGAAGTGAGTTTTGTACGCCAACTCGATGCTGACAACGAGGAACTACGTGCACACAAGAAGCTGGAGACACAGGAAGCCTCCAGCAGCAAAGATGGACATCGTGAACGAGCAGTAGTGAAACGCGCTGAGGGAGGAACCCAGGCTAATTCAAATAGGATAGACAAGAAGGTGGCTGGGTCAGTCCCGTCATCGTCTTCAAATCTGATCCCTAATTTGTCGCTGATGCCAGGTTCGATCCTCTTTCCGTCTTTCGGTGATCCAATGATCGATGTACACCTATCCCAGATGCAAGGGGTTGTTGGGCATGTCCCACAATCCACTACTACGACTGGTGGTGGTGATGGGGGGGGGGAAACAACGGTACTACGCCCCCATTGGATTACGGTGGATTCCCGCCCAATGGGAATGGGCAGGGAGCGGGTCGACGTCAGTTGAGCCTCGCTGGTGGCGGAGGAGGACCTCCGGATGATCCACCCGATGATGAGGATGACGACGACGAAGGAGATGAGGAAGACGAGGAAGAAGAAGAGGAGGAAGACGATCGGACACGGAGGAGACGAAGGAGATCGAGAGATAACCGAGAGATCAAGAATGATCGACCGAGAATCTCGAGGAAAGAGGCCGAGAGAGTCTCTATTCCGGCCTGGCCAAAGATCCATCAACTTGACACCTGGAAGATGCAACTGCTGATGAATGTTCTGAGCGCATGTGCAGATCCAGATACCGACGCATGGACGAAATGGCTGGAGCAGGCTCTTGGGTTGAACCCAGACCTGGATTTGATTAGCGATTCAGGTGGCGACAGATTTGCTACGATAGATATTAAGATGGCCATGGGCATGCAGAACATGCTGAAACAAGCACCTGACGAAGCCAAGGACGTATACCTCGATGCTACACGACACTCTGAACTACGACATCAACAAGGGGTGATCGTTAAGGGACGAGAGTTGGTGGCATTAGTTATGCAATCATTCAGAACTTCCGATAGAACGGATCTTGTCTACCACATCGAGCATTTATTCAACCTTGACTTTCCTGGCGACAAGTACTTGGTCATGTTCAGGAACAAATGGTATGATTTGCTGCTGAAGATGAGGAGCGAGGACAGACCCAGTAAGCTGGCTCTCAGAGACATCCTATACAGGAAGATCAAAGGGAGCAAGAAGATGGAGTTCGGCCTCAATGCCTACCATAGACTACCGGACAAGCATCCTCAGAAGACGTATGAATTCTTATTGGCGTTGATCGACTATCAGATCAAGGCAGATCGAGAAGACCTGATGCTCGACATGAAGGAGAAATCGGTCAAGTCGATGATGAAGTCAGGCGGGAAGGATGCGGCTCCAGCAACTGGCAAACAGGAGAACCAGGGTGGCAAGGGCAGAAAGGGGAAACCCGGTGGACCTGATGCCGCTCCTGTACTCCTGTACTCCCAAAAGCCAAGGCAAAGGGCCACGCTGGCAAGAACGGCAAGACGGTGCCAGTGACAGAGGCAAGAGTCCGGGCGGAGGCAAGGATAACCCCTGTTGGTACCACTTCAAATCGGCGAAGGGGTGCGTGAAAGGAAATGAATGCACTTTTTCCCACAGCAAGAAGACGGAGCATAAGTTGGAGAGCATGTCC